TACCCGGCTTCCTGATTGGCCGGGAAGTCGGCTCCATGCTCTCTCATCACAAGTGACGAGAGAGCATGGAGCCGTTTCCTGGCCAATCAGGAAACCGGGCAGCGTGTAATGATGCGCTGTCCGGCTTCCTGATACAGGAAGTACTCGTGCTAGGTATCGGAGCATTTTGGCGAGTACGAGTGCTCACCCAAATACTTGGTATCGGCACCGATACCGATACTAGTATCGGTATCGGTGCATCCCTACCTGTAACCATGGAGGTGATTGGAACGCCTTGTGTATATCCAATAGCCAACGTTTCAGGGGGCCATGCAGGGTCCCTTCATTAGGGCGACTTTGTGACGCTATGTCGCCCTGACATGTATGTGACAATGATTTTCAATAAATGAACACGAGGATTTGATGAAATCTTCTGAGTGCTGGTGATCTTCCACTTGTACAAGTTTGATGTGCACGGCACTATCCGTGATTATGACTGCGATCACCACATTTGCTATTGGTTCATAAACGCTGTAAGGAGTGCAGGGGATACATCTGTACACTCCACCTTCAGCTCAGTCTTCATTCCCCCATTCAAATTACAATCCCACCACCACAAAATTTGGAGGCACCCCCCGTGGAGGCCAGGAGGCACACCAGTGTGCTTTGTCACCCTGGCTGAGAAAGGTTAATCTACAACATTTAGCCCTCATTCACACTGGAATCAGCCGGCACGTACAGCTCCGTGCTGCGTGCACGGCCGTATCGTGCAGCTCCCGGGAAGGACAGTTGCTGCGTGTGATTAGTACGCAGCCCCTGTCCTCCTGTATGTATGGGAGTACGCGGCCGTACGCCGCCCTACGCTCACCCCAAGTGCAGGTCCGTACGGGGGCAAACAAAAATATTTGTCCCGGCTCGGACGCAGACAGGATCCATCCTGTCAGCGTATGAGTACGGACATGCGTAGGGCGGCGTACGGGCGCGTACTGCCATAGAGAAGGACAGGGGCTGCGTACTAATCACACGCAGCACCTGTCCTTCCCCGGAGCTGCCCGATACGGCCGCACATGCAGCACGGAGCTGTACGTGCCGGACTTTTCTCATGTGAATGAGGGCTAACGAGCGGCTCTATGGCTAGGAAAGTGATGGAGTACTTTGGCCAGTAGTATTCTTTCACGCAATTTTGAGTACTAAGTGTACAAACGGTAGAATTGAAATGAACTAATAGGAACTGAATGTAATAAATGTTGTTGTTTTGTCAGTAGGGCGTGCTGCTGTCTTTCTATGGCATTAATGAGCTACTCAACGGCTGGGAAAGTGATCGCTTTGGCCAGTAGATGGTGTTATTACATATCTGTGTAATTAAATATATATACTATGTATCCAAGTGGGTTGTTGCTCATTGAAGAGAGGTTAAAGGAGAATTATGAGGCGAGTGATTTTCACTCATCCTCATAGCTAAAGCCGACCTGTGACAATGAGACTGTCACACGTCGGCTCAGTAGATCGGGAAGTGAGCGAACACATACCGTCGCTCGCTCACGATCATCTCCCTGCAGAGAGCCGTGACTGTCAGTCAGGGTTCCCTGCAGGGATTCCCCCCTCCCCGCTCCGATCCGCCAGCGCTGACTGGCGGATCGGACGGGGGGGGGGGCGGGGACGGCTGGCTCTGCCTCTAGATAGGCAGAGCCAGCTGTCACTCACGCAGCTGGGCGGATCTCGACATCGATGTCGGGATCCGCTCCGGCTGCGGCGTCTCAGTATACCGCGAGCTGTAGCTCGCAGTATACTGAGCTTAAGGTAACGGGAGGATGCTAGTTTGTGTCCTCCCGTTACCCAAAGGAGAACTATGGGGAAAAGCCCTGACCCCATAGTTCTCCTTTAAAACTATATAAAGTGTGTTTTTGTAAGCTATAATTAATTAGAACACAAATTACTTTGGGACTGCACCTAATAATCCCTGAGAAAGTGATACGTTTATTTCAGACGCAACCAGGGAATATAATTTTGTTATGTCTCTCTGGGCTTCACTACACAATGTAACATGTCAGAGCGTGGTCTGTAACTAGAAGTTTAAGCGTTTTACGAATGAGACAAATCTAATTATTTTCACCTGTAACTCTGTTCTCTGATGTGTATATCAAGACGTCCCCTCCCGTGACCTCCCACATCTCTACGATTAAGCCCTTACAGATGAAACGCGTTAGTGTAGATGGGGAATCCCGTTATGCTGGAAGTTGATAGCCCAATGGATTAAAGTTTGTGATTTGGTGGAAAGCAGTGTGCGTCTTTTTCCTTGGCTTAGTTGTAGTTGAGCATTGTACAGCTCCTGACCTGCATGTGCCCAGGTGTTGGGGACTTGATGTTGGATGGAGCGGTGATAGCTTTCTGTGATTGTATACCAATGCTGGTTATTTATCTGTCATATAAGTTACCAGGGTGGCTGGTTTCTGATACCACCATATAAGATACCAGGGTGGCCAGTTGCTGATCTACCATATAAGATACCAGGGTGGCCGGTTATTTATCTACCATATAAGTTACCAGGGTGGCCTGTACTGATCCACCATATAAGTTACCAGGGTGACCGTTTATTTATCTACCATATAAGATACCAGCGTGGCCAGTTGCTGATCTACCATATAAGTTACCAGGGTGGCCTGTACTGATCTACCATATAAGTTACCAGGGTGACCGGTTATTGATCCACCGTATAAGTTCCAGGGTGGCTGGTTACTGATCTACCATATAAGATACCAGGGTGGCCGGTTACTGACCTACCAAATAAGATACCAGCGTGGCCGGTTATTTATCTACCATATAAGTTACCAGGGTGACTGGTTATTGATCCACCGTATAAGTTACCAGGGTGGCTGGTTACTGATCTACCATATAAGATACCAGGGTGGCCGGTTACTGATCTATCAAATAAGAGACCAGCGTCGCTGGTTATTTATCTACCATATAAGATACCAGGGTGGCCGGTTACTGATCTACCATATAAGTTACCAGGGTGGCTGGTTATTGATCCACCATATAATTTACCAGGGTGGCTGGCTTCTAATCTACCATAAAAAGTGTGAAGGTGGCTGGTTACTGGTCCAACTCCTAATCGTTAGAATGAGTCCCGGTGCTATCGGTCACAGGTCTACATGCAGTGGGAGTGTGATGGAGCGCACATCCAGCACAAACAAAGGGACGCACAAATGCCAACTGAAGAAGACCCTTTTCTGTGATTCCACATCAATGCTTACGCCGGGCAGGAACAGGTTAAAGATTATAATGTACCCATGCTGACAGATGTCTGCTTAAACGAAATGTATGTTTTTGAATTTTGTATCAAATCTGAACAACATATTAAATCAAAACAACAAACAGGAGAGAACATATCACCCTGAGCTCACCGGAATGACTCAGAATCTACCTTGTCTACAGATGTTTATTGCCCGATGCCTCATATCAGGAGGGATGATAATGAGTGTGTAGGGCACAGGTGGATCTCATACAGATTTCTGGCAAACAAGTTGTTGCATGTGTCAGAAGATTCTGCTCTGCTGCCCGTGCCAAACACTATACCCCCCCAAAACTGGGAGACCCAATGAATCCGTGACCGGTCCTCATACTGATCGGTCCTATCATTTGACCAGTGGGCTTTCTCTTATTGATGGAAATGTAAAGTGGAAC